AATCGTGATCTCAATTCTAAGCCAAAAAAATCGTGATTCTCATTTTATGCAAAATCGTGCAGCCCTACTATGAGCTCTTCCCTAAATATCAAAGGTTCAACTGAGCAATGTTTAATTCCGAAATCAGCTCCATGTTTTGTGGTCAGTGCCTGAAATGAATCAATCACAGAGCAGAAGGAATATGAGAAAACTGAGGAAAATCAGTATCACATTTTCGGCACAGAATAAAAGTTGTCAAAAATGGCAGTGTGATCTGTGAGGTCACTTACTGAAGAAGTTCCAGCAGGTACACGGACTCTTTCCAGGTGTTCCTCAATCACCTCAGCATCAGGCTGTGAACTGCACAGCTCCAAGATCAACTTGTTAAAAAACAAACAAACAAACAAAAAAAGAATGAGGTAAAGATCATCTGACTACAGAGAAACACCAGGTACAGTCCCCGCCTCCACTCTCATAGCCTCCGATAGGACCGCCATCATATTTTTGTAATTTTGCATCACTGGTGTGTTTTTCCTCTCTTCTATAAAAAGGTCTGCATGGTGTGAGAATGAGTGTGTGGTAACTGCTACTGTTGTTACAAGTCAGTTTGTGAAGTTTCTTCCCTCCTAGATATTCAAGCATCAACTCTTAGTGGTGTTATTGCAAAGTGAAAGTGTTTATGGACCACAGCAACTCAACCATGAAGTGTCAGACCAGTTTAAGACACAGAGCGGTGTCAACAAGTGCAGAGGGGCATAACATAGGCACTAACGTCTGTCTGCTGAAAGGTTCGTAACTGAAAGGTTCAAAGATTTAGTTTGTCTTTATATTTTTTCCCCACTGGTCTAAAATTCAGTCCACCTCGAGGCACTTTATACTGTAATATAAAGACCCTACAGTATTCTGGATCAAAATGAGTAACACAATCTTATAAGTAGTGACAGTGTCTGTCTCCCAAATCCAAACTGGGAACTGGTTCCTCAGAAGAGGGGCCTGAAAGCTGAAGGCTCTCCTTCCCATTCTACTTTTAAATACTGTAGGAACCACAAGTAAACCCGCACTCTCACAGGGAAGTGTACTGTAGGGATAATATAAGGTCTATTAATGAAAAGCTGTATGCAAGAAGAAGGATTTTAAGTTCTGAATTTAACAGGGATCCAACGAAGGGAAGCCAATATAGGAGAAATATGCTCTGTTTTCCCTAGTCCCTGTCAGTACTCTCACTGCAGCATTTTGGATCAACTGAAGGGTTTTCACGGAGTGTTTAGAGCAGGGGTAGGCAACTCCAGGCCTCGAGTGCCGGTGTCCTGCAGGTTTTAGATGCGTCCTTGATCCAACACAGCTGATTCAAATGGCTAAATTACCTCCTCAACATGTCTTGAAGTTCTCCAGAGGCCTGGGAATGAACTAATGATTTGATTCAGGTGTGTTGACAGGTGTGTCTAAAACCTGCAGGACACCGGCACTTGAGGCCTGGAGTTGCCTACCCCTGGTTTAGAGCAACTTGCTTCCTTTTTAATACTATGTCAAAGCCCTAACAAACATGCAAACTCCAGGCTAAAGCTGCAGAGGTGGAGACTGGGACTGTGCCATTCTTGGACACAGTGCAGTGGTTCAAGCACACATTTAAATCCGATTTCCCTTCTCCTGTTATACTCACTCTTGCTCTCAGCCCCACTGTCAGCCTGCCCTGGTGTCTCACAGTGAGCAACCCAGGCACAGCCTCACAGGAAGATGTCACGAACTCCTCCACAACCCCATACTGCATCACATCCCTCCGCTTCAGCACCTTCCACAGGGCTGCAGACACCAGACGCACAGGCGGGGCAAGCAGCTGGAGAGCAGCGAAAGGAAGTCTGGCATCTGCGCAAGAAACAAAAATAGACTACAGTACTGAATCACACTTGCATGAGCTCCTGACAGTAAAACTTGGAAATAGTGGCATCAATCGCCACACGTCCAGTTTAAACGTTACGCTTACCGCTTCCCTTTGGTTTTCTGGGGGCCATTCCACTGAAAAAGTCCAGAAGAAAACCGGCTCTAAAGTTGACGTTAGCTTAGCAACTCGGAGCGCTTCTAACCGCAATGAGCTTCAAAATAGCACGGGCACTAACCCTGAATGCTGAGGAGCTTATTTAGGAATAATAACACATACTAGCTCAAGTACTGTTTGGAGTCACCTGTTGATAAACATAAATGACACTGCTGTTGTTCCCGCGATGCAAATAAAGCTCGTTCACGTCCATCAAAAGTTTGCCTTCTCGTCCTCCCGCCTTCACTGACAGGCTTACAGTCATTCGCAGTGTTCATTGGAATCTGCCGAATGGGCGGTGCTTCAGATTTATGAATACAAAACACAATACTCCACCCCTGGCGTGTGTTGAAACGTTTTACACAAGCGCACCCAATCTGGTTTCAGGAAATGACGTATTGACGTTGCCTGCCAGCCAACACTTCATGATTTAAAGAAAAAATCTAATGGAAAAAAGGTAAATAGAAATGAAAATTATATATTAGCTGAGGCGAGGAATATCAGAAAAGATTAATTTAGATTAATTTAATAATTAATTTAGTTTATATCTTTAAAACGACCTGAAAGTGTTTATTTTCTGTTTCTAAATTGCAGTTTTTAGATGATAATTTTATTTATTAAGGCGAAATAAAATCTGTACAAATCTACCTGATCCTCTGAAAAAAATAACTGCCACCTAAACCTAATAACTGGTTGTGCCCAACTTGGCAGCAAAAACTGCAGTCAAGTGTTTACAATAACTTGCAATAAGTGTTTCACGTCACATTGGGGGAATTTTGACACACTTTTTCTTTCTTCTTCTTTTTTTAAGCCATTCAGAGGTCGAATTGCTGATGTGTTTTGGATCGTTGGTCTTTTCCATAGCCCAGGTGAACTTGTCCTTCAGGGAGTGTCATCAGGATTTTCTGGTAAAGAGCAGAACTCATGGTTATAACAATTACAGCAAGCCATCCTGAAGCAGCAAAGCAACCCCAGACCATCACATTACTACCACCACCATGTTTGACTGTTAGTATGAACTTGGAAGGTTCATACTGTTCCAAGTTTTCTCCTTTTGTGGAAAATCGCTCTCAGTATGGTTCACTGGAGTCCCAAAGCCTTAGAAATAACTTTTCAAACCTTTCCATACAGACAGATGTCAGTTTGCTTCCCAGCTGTCCTTGAGTCTCTTTAGATCGTGGCATATTGTGTTACTTTTTGAGATCTTTTAGCCTACTTCACTTTGTCAGACAGGTTCTGTTTAAATGATTTATTGAGCACCTTATGTCAGCCATAAATTACAAAAAGATTACAACGCACTATAGTTATCTACTACAACATAAACAGTCTCCAGTATACAGGCTTACAGACCCAACAAAGCTAACACTGTCTAATAATTCTTTAAAGAAGAAAAAAAGAGGCTTCTTACAAAACTGTTTATGTTCAGTTATAAAAACACAGGCAACAACCTCTGAATTATCAGCTGTAGATATCGTTATTCTGCTTTTCAGATAAAGGAAGGCACATCTGAGTCAAACACAATCAATATGAACTTTACCCTGTTCTGTTCTGTGTCTGAATTATCACCAAGTCCCAGGATAAAGTCCACCAACTGGGTCAAACACGAGCAGCACAAACACTAATACAGTGTGTGACACCAAAACAGCCTCAAAAACATCAGGCTGAGAGACGAGAAGAGAAGAAACTAACCAGCATGGATACAACATCTTCATTCATCAAGTAAGTGACAAATGAGTTTTAACGTACCAGTTAGTACACTGTTGCTGTCTGCAGCTTGAAATGATCGTAAAACAGGCACAAGTAACTTAATGATTCAACAGGTGTTCCCAAAAATGTACAGTACTGTGACTTATGTAAGACTGAGGTATGAAAAAATGACCTTTTTTCTCATTTCAGATTAAAATGTTTAAGAAAAACCGTAAAATAAAATAAAATCAGGTAAAATCAGTGTGACAATGGAAGAGTGGAATTGAGAGGATGACTTAATGCAAATAAAAATACAGATGGTGCATAAAATAGAAATAACAATAAATATGGAATGTATGTGAAAATGGTCTCTATCGCACACGGATAAAACTCACATAACAGTTTGACTCACGTTAAGTACTCTGTGTAAATAACAAAACTAAAAACAGCTCAATGCAATTAAATTGATAGATTTTGGGGTCATGTTCGGGTAATATCAGCTTGTTAATATAACCTACTGGGACACAAAACCAGCATCCTCTCAGATAAAAGTCAAACATTTGTTGAAGAGACCGTTCTATTATTTTCAAACCTTTTTTTGTCTCGTCTGTCCTCAGGTCTGTAACCAAGCGAGTGTGGTCCCCGACACAGAGACCTTTCAGAGTGTGCTGTCACAACAGGAACACCAGGAAAGGCGTCACGGCCGGGACACTGGAGGAGCTGAAGGAGAGGGTGAGAGTGACTGAGGAAAGGTTCTCAATAGGGTGAAAATATTTTCAGCCAAAAATGTCAAAATAAAATAGAAAATTGAGAAATCTATTAAATTTGGTGAATGTAGAGTTAAAAAGAGAAATAAGCTTTTAAAGTTATAAAATTAATTAATAGGGCGAATGATTTCAATGCGGCAATAAAAGTCGATTAATTCATCTTTTAGAAGATAGTTCATTACCTCAAGACCATGACATCATCTAACAACATGATGTCATCCTGAAGTCATTAGTCAAATATTCACTGCCTTTGCCTGCAGAATATAAGAGGGCCAAACTGCATTTCCAAACGCCAGCTGAATATCAGCTATGTGTACAACAGCTCCACCTAGAGGCTGATCAAATGCATTTTTTATTGCCAATTGGGTGCCATAAAAACTGGTTTATGAACTGATGATCAAGGTATTAACAAAGGCTAAGACTAAGTCCTTAAGATGGCATGGAAATGTTTCCATTCAAGTCCATATCATGTTGAATTATTATTTAATGCTAATAAATGATTTTTAAATAATTAAGAATTAGTTGTTTTTACAGCTGGGAAGTAAATATCACTAATTCATATTCTCTGTATATGACTGCTTACTTACTGTCCTCATACTGACAGGTATGCCAGGCGTTGCTGCTCTCGCTGTCTGCAGTGTCTCTGTCTCTGGTTTGTGAGGATGACGGTACAGAAGTCGACTCTGATGAGTTCCTCATGACCCTACCCGACAATGTCATGCTCATGGCCCTGGAGCCTGGACAGACATGGAGATCACAACAAGTGGGTTTGACCGCAGAAGCTGTGTCTGGGTTTAGGGTGTGCTTTTTGTCTCTTGGTGACAGTTTTCTAATCTCTCTGATGCCCCCCAGGGTGCAGTTGTGCCCAAGGCTCAAGACCACAACAAATCACGTACTGGGAGAGACATAGCCCGCGTCACCTTTGACCTTTACAGGATAAGCCCCAAAGATGTGTTTGGCTCATTGAATGTGCACGCCACATTTCAAGGCCTGTACTCGGTGAGCGCTGACTTTCAGTGTCTTGGGCCCAAGAAAGTTCTCAGGTAAGCCAAGTGAAAATGTTAGGAGGGTAATAAAGGTTCATTTGCATATGTAGTGCTGTGCAAGCTTTCAGTGGCAGAAGTAAAATTCAGTCTTTTAGCATCAATACAGACTTTAGTTTGCATTTAATAAAAATGAACAGACAGAAGTTAGGACAGAACTTTATTAGCAATAAGTTTAACAAGCTTTAGCTGTTGGACAGATGCCGTCACATTGGACTCTATAAAACTTAGGTATACAGAGGAGTTCACAGTCAACTCACTGACTGTAAGACGCCCAAATCATCACCACCTCCACCACCGTGTTTCACAGTTGGTGTGAGGAGTTTGTGCTGATATGCAGAGTTTGATTTTCTTTAAATGTGGTGCTATGCATCTCCACTTTGTTCTCATCATAAAGGACATTGTTTCAGATGTTCTGTGGATTGTTCAGATGCAATTCTGGCTTGGGCATCAAGGCTTAGACTCACAGACCTGTTCAGTCTTTTTCAAACTCCACTGTCATTAACTTTAATATTTGACATCATAACTTAGACCTGTACAGTCTCAGCTGTAGCTACTGCGATTTTGCAATTTCTCCGAGCATTGCATGACCTGACCCTGAGGTAAATTTGCTGGGGTGTTGCATGGTGTTATCACACAGACCAGCAGACTGCCAGAACTTCTGATTCTCAGTTAACAAAATGCATTTGATCAGCAGCACCACAATAATTCCTATGGAAGTAGTAAGGGTGCAGTTAGTTACCTGGTTTCCTACCTGCTCAGGCTCCAGCCTGTGTTATGTACTTAAAATACATTTTAATAGTTAGGTGGAGTTCAGCTGATCCACACGATAAATTTTATTGCACAAATTAAATGTTAATGTTTAGATTTTTCTGATATTTCTTGATTTTATACTCCCAGATTTGAACCTCAAATAATAACAGTATAACATCTGAATAAAATTTGAAAAAGTTTAAAGCAGGACACTAAAGAAATACTCGTGTATAAGTCTGTTTTCTACAGATTTTGGATTATTTAACTTTAAACTTTAACTTTAAAAGAGGATAAGAGAAATAGCAGCTGTCACTCACAGCCAGCTATTAAAGCTTAACGATCACATCAGATGTTTCTGGTTCAGGCTGAAGAATCTGCACTGACCTTAATCCTGATAACACTTTGTGCTGTTTCCAGAGAAGTGCTGCGTGTGGCCTCCACCCTTCTTCAGGCTGCTGGACACCTGCTTCTCACGTCTGCCACCATGATCCGCCGCATCATCGAAGGCGCAGAGCTCTGGCAGCCACAGAGGGCGGAGTACGCAGCCAGATGGAACTGAGATGGACCCGTTTAGATGCAACCTAAAGTAATGAGGTCTTTTGTGTGACTGCTGGACCTGTTTGAGAGCCTCTCAATTTACTCTTACCCTTCAGTACCTACAGTATTGGAAAATTATGTTTTACCTCCTTAAGAAGAGGAAAAAGAAAGCACCTTGTTAAGAGAAATATCTGCTGAGGTAGCATTTGTAAATATTAACTGTGATTGTATGAATAGATGTCGTATTTTTGTAATCATATTTCAGGTTTTAAACTGATTTTTGATACTTTTTGCCTCTAACAAAGCAAGATTTAGTAAGATAGCTGGCTAACTTGTGAAATATTACCCACATAATATCTTTCACAGCAGGGCCAGACCAGTAAAACTCCTGCACTGAGGTTTAACTGCACATTTAATCCTGGACATAGTATGTTATTATAATAAAAAGAAGTGCTCTTTGGGTTTAAATTGTAAGAAATAAAAGTGTAAAATAACAGATAAACTTCTGGTAGCTCATTTTCTAGACTGTCTTTAAGTATAAAACTGAACCTAACCTAAATAAAATTGTTGTTAATTAGCAGAAAAGGAAAGAAATGTATACAGTGGTGAAAAAATAACTTCTCTGTCATTTAGCTATTAATTACTTTGGTTTAGTATGAATGACCTGGGAGAGCTCTTAGTAGGAAAACATGTAAAATTTAGTGAAAAGTCAGAAATCTACACTCTCCTTCACAGTTTCAGTCCAGGACTGAAGTCTTTATCGGGCCAATTCTGGGCCCCGGGCCTTATGTTTGACACCACTGTTTTAAACTCTTTCGTGTTGGTGTAATTTAGTGTGGATTACATGCTGAAACATGTGTCTTCTTTCAAACATCCCTGTGTTTTCTGTCCGCACTGAGGAATAATTTGTGTTTTGCTGTAACTAATCAGCTGAGTCCTGCTGGAAGAGCAATAAAAGTGCTTTTATTAAAACAGTGAAAACAGCTGCACAGCATAAACAGACCAAAACTGCACCTAGAATCCGAATGAGGATCTTTTGAACACACTAACTAAAACAGCAGGAAAAACATGGAATCAGGGGGTCTGTCTAACATGGGAACTTGATAAACAAGTTGACAACTGCCTGAAGAACAGAGGAACTAAAAAATGATCCAGCTGTGTTTTTATATGAGCCATAAGAGCTGTTGTGCTATTTCTACTCTGGAGGGATCTTCACATTTTTCTCCTCGCTGTAGCCTTTGTTCCCTTCGAGCATCATAATCCAGGAGTTCATGCTATTGGGCAACTTTATTTTAGTCATCGCGTTCATGTACTGCTGATACATGACGTTGCCCAGTACCTGATGGTGCTGCTCCTCATTCATCCAGCGAGGCCTCCCTCTCTTAATGAAATAGCGCATGTCGCCGAACCACTGAATGACCGACAAGCGTGGCACACCGACCATCCTTGCCAGCCGACTGTACTGCTCCTTGTCTGGGTACTGGCATTGCAGGAACGCCATCTTCATCATCGCCAGCTGGGCCGGCGTCTTGCAGTGGAGCCGAGTAGTAGGTGTAGGCTCGGCGGAAGAGGGGGTGTTTTTCACTTCGATGAGGGCCTTTAGTTTGTCAATATCTGTGATGAAAACGCGGTGGTCCGGCTCTGCTTGCAGATCTGCACCCTCGATTTCGTTTTTCTCCCTGAAGTCGCTGTCTATGGTGGAGCTGGGATCACCGGCTCTCTGCAGCAGACATGTCTGGTTGTCAGGCGCTGGAGATGCATCAGAGGTTTGGATTTCAGCCTGGGGGCCGAGCAGAGAGCTGGGAGCCGGAGGTGCATTACTCTCCTCTTGCATGCAACTTTTGTTCACTCTTGGTTTTTTTCTTTTTCTGCCACGACGCTTGGGGCATTTTTCTCCCCCGCTTTCCACTTTATCCATCATCTCCTCCTTATCATGCTTCACGATCTTCTTTCCCATCTTTTCTGTTGCTATTGCCCATTTCCGCTTTTGCGTGCTGCTTTTTTTCTCCTTCACTGGTTGCTCCTTCTTCAACTGCTCATTAACATTTGCGCTGTCTCCTCTCACTCCTCTTCCCTTTGCATTCCCACCAGTTGCTTTCACCTTTCTCTTCTCTCTTCCGTCCTCTATTACTTCTCTCTCCGTCCCGTCTTGAAGCTCCTTCTTTTCCTGACTTGAGTTGAACTTCCTTTGGACCTCACGGATGTCTTCATAGTCCCAGCTGATGCCGTAGCGGAGCCTCTGTGCCATGAACCACGCCTTCACCTGGTCTGGGTGCAGGTGGCAACTCTCTGCCAGTTTGGTGGTCTGTCTGTGTGTTAGGTAGGGAAACCTGTCAAAGGCCTCGTCCAGCTCCGCAGCGCCGTGTATCTGTGAGTCGATCTGGTGCGAATGCACCCACACAAGCTTCCTACTCTCAGAGATCAAGGGGAAGCACACCACACTGCTCTGGTTCATGCCGTTAGCCATGGGGGTAGGGCTCATGTCTGAGAAAGCTGGAGTCTCTTCACGAGTGCCAGGTGGTTTCTGACCGAGTCCAAGGAGCTCTTCATCAGCAAAGTGCCTCATCTTACTCATCTGTGGTGATGCACTCCTGAAAACAGCAGACAGAAATATGTACAAATAAATAAAATACTCTATGGTCAAAATTACTGAGCAGGATTTTCCCAGTGCCTGTGATGAAGTATCTGATTTCTTAGATATTTGATTTGTTAATCGTGCACTTCTCTGGAACTGCACCATTACTGCTTCCATAGGAATTACAAAGGTAAGTAGCAGCCAGGTGCTGATAATCAAATGCACCTGATTAATGAGTTATCAGCAGGTGTGAACATGTCTATAAAAGCAGAAGTTTTGGCAGTTTAATGGTCTGGAGCATTCAGGTGTGTATTAACATAAAGACTCAATCTTCCCAGGAGAGGGCGTCCCAGCAAATTCACAACAGTATCAGACCATGCAATGTTCAGAGCCACTGCAAAAAAACCAAAGAGCTCCATCTCAGGCTCTACAGGTCTCAGTTAGCACGATTAATGTTAATGTTCATGACATTATTATTAGAAAAAAACTGAAAAAGTATGGCTTGTTAGAAAGGGTTAAGGATAGATAGATAGATAGATAGATAGATAGATAGATAGATAGATCCCTCGGGGAAAATGTCTATTGCACAGTATTTTGACAGTGATTAGTTCTTAAGATGAATAGTCCAATATCTGTGTTTATATTATGAACAGGCGTTATAAGGTGTTATAGATAAAAAAAAATTTTTAAATGACTTGCTTTGCAAGCATCCTTATAACTCTGCATTATTGTATGTAGTGTGTGTTTCACATTATAATCAATCCAGTCCTTTTGGCCACTTAAATGTCTTAATATTAGTGTTATATTATATTTCTTACAGTTTTTTATACCAGATTTTTGATGTCAATGAGACATTTTGCCCACATAAACAAAAGATATATAAAAGTCACTTTGCCAAAGAGTGGCTGCAACTTCTACATCATGGCAGGTCATTTCTTACTCGCTTACATAATGGCTTTTGATCATTCATTAGAGACACATTTGATAGATGATAGGTCCACAAAAGTTTAATATCAGAAATCACTTTTTGGCAGATGATCATCATTTTCACCGTGGCGCTGCTAAAGTTGTTTCACAAACTTAATGGTTTATAACAGCTGGTTATTTTATATATATATTTTTTAAATATTAATTATAAAATTAACTCTTACCTGGAGCTCTACTTATTTTAATTCTTTTGGTTTCTGTGATTTAATGCCCAAGAAAGTAAGGTTACACCCAAACTGATTCCTGTTAATTACGTATTACTTTAATTAATTAAATATTACTTATTGTTTAATACTTTTAGCTAATTAACTAAACAAAGTCTAGCTAACTTAGCTAGCTAACTTTAGCTGGCTACACTTTGATGTTAGCTGACCGGGACTGACCTCTCTAACCCGGTTATGAGTAACACACAGTGATGTTAAAAAGTACTGGTTACCTTCACTGTTCACCCCGTTGCTTTATCGGAGCACTGCTACCTGTTTGTTAGCACTAGCGGTAAGTTTAAGGCTAACTTCGGTGCACAGGTGTAGTTAGCTTAATAAAAGCATTTCCTGGGTTTGCCTGGCATGCATAAAACTTTGGCGCCCGCCAACCGTGAGAAACAACGTCAGCTCCTGTCTGATGTTCCCTTTGAAAACTGTCCGAAATATACAATAAAAAGGCGAAAAAATAATTTACAAATTCTTCCCCTAAGTCCCTGGTCACATCATTAGAAACACATTTTGTTGTTTTTCTCATGACAGAGGTTATATATGAAATGTGATAGACTTACATCCACTTTACATATAAGGTACATCTGGGGTGCTGACCATTTGTCAGACTCCCAAATGAAATGTTCTTAAATCATTTTGTTTTCCGATTTTAATTTATTAAATGAGAAAACAAAACATAAAATTAATTTTCGTCTCAATGACACCCCACAAAGGTTTTGAGCCAGAAATACACCTGGTTTTAATAAATATCCCATTTAAAAATATTAACTGGGACAGAAAGATGGCAGGAAAACTGGGAGAAAAATTGCAGTAAATGATCCCATATTCAGTCCTCTGCAACAACCTTATGGCACATGGTTTACCTGCTCAGCCAGGTGGGCTATGCTAGGAATTTCTTTTTTAATACAGTTTTAAGAAATGATATGAAGTAACTGCCCTTGTGGCCTAACCCTGGCAACAAAGCTCAATCATTTCTTAGCTGACATACGTTTTATTTAGGTGTGGTGTTTATACTTGTAACTGTGTATTTATTTTGCCTGTGTTAAACAATTTCATATTTTTTGACAGATTTTTTT